GATTTACTCCCAAAAAGTAGGTGGTGGTGGAATTCGGAATTACATAATGAATAAAAAGGCATTCCGGTGGGCAGATTTATTATGCTGCCATGTTAATAAGAGAGAAGGAGCTTTTATAGCTGTCATACTAACGCTTCACACTCTGTACACAATTCACAAGTACATTTGACAAATTAAAGTAGTAAAAGAGCTGAAGACTATAATCTATCATTTTAATGCTTCACTGATAACATACAGAATCAATTTCAATGACTCTTTAAAAAAAAAAAAATACAACAAAACTCCATACCCTGGTTGACTCCTATTAGAATGCAGTGCACCATCAAGTATCACACATTAGCTAACACAAAGCACAACATCTTAGTTTACTGAAAGGATCTAATTCCGAGTTCAGACAGTTACCTTTTAACCCACAGTGTTTCCAGGGCCCGCCTGAAGCGTAAACAGCACAAGCAACTACAAGGGGACCTGCTCAGACTCAGCAATCTGCAGACTGGCTTGACCTGCCTCTTGGCAGATTAAGGGTCTCACAAATCAAGTGTGTGGGAGGATTCAAAAAAGTGGATCTTGCATGCTAATAGTAACACAAGGATTGAAAGTATTAACTCTGACTTGCCCAACCCCTTGCCCACAAGCAAGAGTATTTTAAGTGTACTTTATGTTTCAGTTGATGCTTTTAGCCACAAAGTTCCGGATTTGACACTAGTACTAATTTGCAGGCAGCTGCTATTAACCCACGTAGAGCTGGAGATGTCTGTTCATAGAATCACAGAATGGTTTGGGTTGGAAGGGACCTTAGAGATCACTGAGTTCCAACCCCCCTGCCATGGGCAGGGACACCCTCCACTAGACCAGGTTGCTCAAAGCCTCATCCAGCCTGGCCTTGAACACCTCCAGGGATGGGGCATCCACAGCTTCCCTGGGCAACCTGTTCCAGTGCCTCACACCCTCTTCAGCTTAGAACAGTTGCACCTTGCTTACAACTGTTGCACAACTTGCATCAGAAATTTCATGTAGCAACCATGTATCCAGATTTGATTCTGTGAAAGTATCTGTACAGTACCCATAGACTATTTCACACCAACAGGGACAAAAATCATTCTTACCTGCCATTTAGCTCCTGTTGACTTAGCAAAAATTGGGGTTTTTTTAATACATGACCTTTTTACAATTTTTCACATAATTCATATCTCCCAGTCAGAATGGTATCAGGGCAGTATTACCACACAGGCTGATTTATTACATCAGCAAAAGAGTCAAGCCTTCATTTAATGGTAACAAAATATTAATTAACAATACTAAATATATGAGAAAAAATAAATGATTGGCTAAAACAGAAAACAAAAATATTCAGAAGCAGAATACCCTGAAGACTTGTAGTATTACACATACTTTCCCTCGATCTTCCTAGGAAACCGCACAAAATGTACAGTGAGCACTAAAAGTTTAACACACGCATGAAATGAGTAATTGTTTTCCACTTTCAAAGTTCAGCTTGATTTTTCCAAATCTAAGGAACAGGAAAACATAGCGAAATTCCCTGAAAGAACATAAACCTACAGATACACAGGGCACTGCTTAAGAAAAAAGCAACAGGCACTATTTGGCTGCTTGTGTCCCATATGTTAATGACTATCTATTTCATTTCCTAGCATTACAATTCCATAAAAAGTGGCTAAGAAGAACATTTCCGCAGAATTATGATCAATTACAGTTTTTAATGTTTAATATACACAAGGCAACCATCTGACTACATTCGCTGAAACCACAAAACGTGTACGGCAGAATCTTCTTTCATAGGCTGGGTCTGTAAACTGCAGCTGCATACCACTCTTGATTTCAAGTGCAGATTTCTCCTGATTAGGAAGAGGAAAGTTGAAAGTTCCTCATTAACCAAAAAAATTTCAAACATGCATATCAAACCCACTCCAAGTATCTATCCCCTTCCACAGTTTTCTGCACTGACAGATACATACATAATTACTAAAGTAACAAAACTAACTAGAAAGCACACCAATTTTATTTTACAAACAAAAAAAAAAAACTGGAAAAGGAACGTAGTTATAAAATACGTCATCTCTTATACATTGTGGTTTAATATTTCATACAGAATCACAGAAAAAAATGTTTTAATCGAACCTTCAATATATTTTGACATAATCTTTATGTTAGCAGGACTCCTACAAAGGTTCCAGGAAAGAAATACTTATGAAACAGAGAACAAGGGAACACATAAGCCATTACAGAAGATTGGATTAAAATGTACTTACCCAGGCCTCTCAAATATCATACATCTCCATTATGTAGGCTTTAGGCACCAAGCCAATGGTTCCCTTCATTTCTCCTACCCACCAGCCAAATCTATTGTACTCCTAATTGAAAACAATATGCAATATTAACCTTTAGTCTGATATAAATGCAATAGAGTTTTGTATGCAGCTCCTTATGGGTGCTTTCTCTATTTATATACAGTTATAATAATTTCAACTGAAAATTAAAACATCATATCTTTTTGTTAGAGGCATTCACATGCAGAGTTAGGCAAAGGCAGAAGTTAAATTTTAAAAAGGCCAGGCACACTCAGGAAAATTTCTTCATTATGCCCACGCTTCTCTATAACACCTACTAAAAATAGCTGACCTCTCCATCCTTCATTCATGTCAAACATAAAAATCTTATCTTTTAACTAAAGTCTAATAGCACAATGTTGACATATAAAAATCAACTGGAATTCCTTCAGTATCACGAGGCCAAACTCTAAGAAACTTACAATCAACTTATTTTAAATACTACGCTCAAATGTGAAAGGAACACCATATATCTAATACATAATCTCTTTCTACGGACAAAGTCTACTATTGCTTTAGGCTTGCAGAAAATTCTATGGCAGATCTCATATGTCTGACAGATGACTAATGTACTTTTGTTTGAAATTTGTTTAGGCTTAGTGAGATAAATATGAAACAAAATGAATTATAATAGTTTAAAGAAATAATACCTCCCAAAAGCAATACCAAGTAAGAGTATTGTGGGATCCAAATTTAATTTTTTTTCCTATGAGGTAAATATTTTAAGATCAATCCTAACAGCGGTTCAATAAATTGTAACAGCTGAAATTGCACACACACATATATTGAGTTACAAATGAAGCATTATTAAAACAGAGACCCCATTCAAAATTGAATGATTAGTAAAACAGAAATTACTCTGGAACAAACATGGAAAATACAAAATGCACAGATATCTCTGATAAGCAACATCTGCTTCCTGCTACGCTGCTCTTCTGACAAGGAGAGCAAAAGGCTGTAGGATTTTGAATTAATGGGTCCTACTGAGATGACATTATAAACTATTATTTTGACTGTAGATAAAGTTCTTCAGTTATAAATAGTCAAGTGGAGCTTAAGGGTTAATGGAGTTTCATTAGAGCCTGAGCTATAATGATTTGCTGCTGGCATATTTGGCCTGGTGGAGCGTCCTCTAGGGTCCTATGAGGTGCTTAGTGTACTCAGCTCTCCCTGTGCTTAACTAGATGAAGCCCTGTTGATGGCCCACTTTCATGTGGGCCCAGGCTTTCTCTTTTTTTTTTTTTTTTTTTCTCCCCTAAGCACACTTACATGCAGACACACACACTTTTTTATTTTCTTATTGTGGAAGGCTGAACACTAGTCTTAAATTAAACATTTTCTTCCTTCTCTTCACAGTGACTTGGTGATTTAAAAGATTCTATCCTACCATCCATAAAGTACTGCAGTAAGTGTGATTTGAAGAAAATCCACATAAAAAGCAGCAGGAAAACCTTCATTTATGACATGAACACACAAACTAGAAAGCTGTAAAAATAATTCCACTTTCTTCCACCTTCTGCTGCAGAACAGGCTGCTGGGATGGGTCTGGTCTGAAAGTCTTAGAGGTACCTGAACCTGATCTTCAGTGCACACTGCTCTCCACAGAAGTTAAGAACCTCACATAACCTTTCCCATTCAGGCACATGTTACACCCCAAATCCTGAAAGGCTAATAAAACCCTGGTGCTGAGCTTTATAATGTTCCAGATCAGCCTGCTTAAAGATTGTATTTTATCTCACAATACACTGGTTAAATACACAAACTGGATTTCTAGACTAAAGTGGGAAATTGCTGAAAAGAGCAGTACTCACGTATACTACTGGAATCTCAGCAATAAATCTCTTCAAGAGAAAGTAACAAAAGATTTTAAGCTGCTACATGGAACTCATGAAGTGACTGACAAGAGTGATTAAACAAGTTTTGCTAAACATCAGCCAAAAAAGCAAACAATACATGAAACGAGGGAAGTTGCTTAGTTAAACGGTCATTAAGTTGCATATGACAAATGGCATAGAAAAAGCCTGTGGACTACATTATCCATTGAAAATGTTCCACTTAGCAACACTACAAGAACTTAGAAATAATTGGTTTTAAAGAAACAATTCAGATACCTCAAACAAAATGAAAAGCATGCTGCTGTTTTGAAAACTTTCTGGGTTTTGCTGCTTACTAGTACACTACTTACTGCTCTGGCATGAAGCTAAGTGAGAAGATGAAATGAATGTTGATGTAACAGACTAGTAAACTAAATTAAGGATTCACTGCAACCATTATACCACAGAAACAACATTGCACCACAGAAGCTTTTACTTTACATTACCACTCTTTGCATGGGTCTCAAGAGCAACATGAATCCCAATTAAACTATCTGCAGTCTATAGAAGTCTGTACAAAAATATAATGCAGATGCCTGGCTGACAAGAACAGAAAACTTTATTCGCAGGTTTTAGAATAATTAGATAGCACTCCCTTTTAAACTGATTAAAGTACAGACTTTTCTCTTTAAACTCCTAACCACTCCTTTCTGTCCTCAGTACTACAAAAGAGTGCTTACTAGTCAGGCAGATAAGCAGTCACCCGCAGTCCTTTCTTGATGTCACATTAAAAAAATCCAAATTGATGTATTGTTTCTATCAATGTTATAAATTATAAACTCCTTCATAGCAATATAATGTAATTAATACACTAGTGTTGTGAGGTCCATATGTCTGTAACTGCTGCTTAAGATGCGTAGATTAAAAGTCTAAAGCCCACATTTGTGGGAAATAATGATAAATATGCAGAAGGATATGAATACACTTAGGAGTTTTATATGAATTCTTAAGAGTTGGGAAGCACGGTGCTTTTACAGGCACCAGCTTCAGATCTCAGGTACCACTGGGTTTACCATCTGGTATCCCTCACTGCATTCAGCGCTTAACATCGCTAACATAGGCAAGCGACTATACTTCAGAAGGACTGATAAAATAATGAAGAGTCCTTTAATCTACGGGAAACCATTGTAGTCAATTTATAAGAAATATTGCATCCCTTTGTAGGGTGTGTAATTATTTTCTATTAATCATGTGCTATAAAGCTACATTATGTGGTTATTCTGTTATCACTAGAAAGAGGCCTGCAGTCAGCTCCTGACAATGTTAGGTAATTACTAACACAAAGCTTCTTTCTCCTTATGTAGAAATGCTATCAAGATCCAGAGGTGCTGTGATGCTCTCTGTATGAAAATAACTCTCCAAAGAAATTCAATAACTGCAAAATGAATTGCTCCAAGGCAAATAGAGGGATAGGAGAGGGGGGGCAGAGCCAGATCCAGCCGCCCTGCAATGAGGAGAATGCACAAGTGTGTGGCCAGGGCTCTGCCATGTGACTGGGAGCACATTTGCCATGCCAGGCAGGGCTGGGCAGGGCGGGGGGAGGAAGGGGCCACCGCAACCCCTGGAAGACAAGCAGCAGGGCAGCGGAATATATTATGCCAAATAATATGAAACAACCACCTTAACAAATGACCAAATGCTTTCTAAGCTACTTCTACGTTTCCACTGTCTGGCACAGAGTGGATTCCCGCCCCCCAGCAGAAATTTATTAACCAAAGTGAAGTAATTTCACAGGACAGCAACTAACAGGTTATGACTTAACATTTAACATGCTGGCAAAACACTCTCTGCATAGCATGCTATGGCGGGGGAAAGGAAAAAAAAAAAATCTCTTCAGGGTTTACCGGCTCCTTAAATGCACTCAGCTGAACACAGTGTAAGCAGATGCTTCTCCTTGTCCCCATCCCACCAATTTTACTGCACTGATGTGTATGTACCTATGACTCCACAAGACACTGATCATAAAAGTTTTTGCACTTAGGGAAAACACAGTAGGTAGACATATACTACCTGTTTTTACAGATATCTTTTAAATACAAGATTTTTGTTCTATATAGAAGAGAATTTTGATATGCAAGAAGAGAAAATTTTTATGTGCAAGAGGAATTCCAAAACAGTCTCTACCTTTAGAACAGATCCTCCACGTAAATGAGGATCTCCAGATGCTTTGCACCATATTAACATTTACTGACTTCTGCAAAAGTTGAGAACATCTGGTCCTTGTGCAATTAGTCCCTATTGTTCAATACATATGGTATGTTTTTTCTGTTAGTGGGGTGGGTTTTTATTTTGTATTTTAAAAAGAGATGCCGAAAATCATTGTGTTTCAATGCCTTGAAGAAAACAATGGATTTGTGTTTAAAAAAAAACACAGCTGAAGTGTGTGAATTCGAGATTTTTCTCCTGCACTCTTCCAGTGGCATTATAAGTAATGTTAACTTATGGACTGAAAATCTGCAAACTTTAAAATTGAAAAGCAAAATATATCTATAGCCTTGTCTGGGGTTAAAATAAGTAGCCTCTGCTACAAAGCTAAAGGAGGAACAGAGGGAGAAATTTTTTTGAAAGAATATCCTAGGGGGCAATTTTGGCAAGACAGTATTTTAAAACACCTCTAATTCATCCAGGAGATTCAGACTAGCTAAAAAATTTCAGAACTTCCTTTGGTGTAATTGCTGAATGATACACTACCAACCAGGGAGCATTTTTGTCGCAGAACAGCATCTTCTCTAAAAAGCGGAAAATGACAAAGGTTTTAGATAACTGAATGAGACTTCTTCACAGGTAGCAGAGTTGTTTTAAGACAGCAATAAAATGGTAATCTTTAAGACTATAAGCCTAAGATTTATTGAATGGTTGCATTATTAGGTTTTATTTCCTGCAATGACATGAGACAAAATAGACACCAATTAAAGAGTTCCAGTATAAATCAGGATAAGCAGACTGAATTCTGAACCAAAACTGGCCCCTAAAAACACCCTGTCTGGAACAATAAAAGGGACATTTTATTTTCCATTAGACAACACAACGCCAAAATTTTTTCTAGTCTGGTAGGTAAATGCTTACATATTATCAGTATGCAAACCAACAGAGCTAGAGTCACTTTGCATTAGTCTATCTTAACTAATCTTCCATTTAAAGGCCTTCACTCTTGTCCTATGTTTAGCCATGCATCTATTTTGTTTTTCTGTAATGAATATACCTAAACAAGTCAGAGAAGAAAATGCAGAACTTAGTATTGCATCTTAGTTTTGATCAGAAGCATCCCACTGAAGTGAATCTCCCAATGCTCCCCCTTTCCCCACCTTGGCTCACTTTGCAGAGCCATCAGTCTTAGAGCAGACACGTTACGTTTCTTTCAGATTAAATTCAAATGGAAGATGCACTTGAATGTGCTCCAACCACTAACGTGTTCTCATTCTGCAAAACCAGGCTGGAACTCTTTGGACATAAAACTCCTTTGAACAGGCATAGTGTGGGCACTGGGGCCTCAGCACTCTTTCACTCTGTACATCTGCTCCTATTGGTACTCCCTACTGGCTAAGGTAGACATAGGCACTACGGTCACAGAAAGAGAAACTACTGTTAAATACAAATCTCAGCATGATCAGTCAGAAAACAGCCTGACCGGGGAAAAAAAAAAAATAATCAGGATTTTACTATGCCTTTCACATCTTTTTCCAAAAAATACTACATTAATACACTTTATTAAGATTATACAGATAATGCAAAAAATGCTCACAGTGCCCAAGAAACAGCTGCACTGTTAAGTTGTACTTTATTTCATAAGCAGTAATCTGAGCTGTGGAGATTTCTTTGTTCATCTTCTCAGTAAGCAAAAAATACAAGTTAAGATGTGAGCATTTTCACAGACATTTGTTGTATTGAAAGAACAAAAATCTGCCACATTGGAAACGTACAACCACCGCATAAAGGGTGTTCTAGCTACAAAGTTAATCCTCCACTTTAATGGAAAATTCTAGAGCAAAGGGTTAAGTCATAGATAAGATTTCCATGATTCATAAATACCAGAGTGAGCAGCATCATACTGCATTGGCATGTACCGAAATAATAACAAGGAAGGGGAATTCCAGTTTGAGATATAATTTCTGATTTTCAAGTATTATTTGTTGGTTTAATACTAATATAAATATAAATGAGATTAGAATTAAATTATCTTAAATGTTAAGAAATGTCAGCGATTCTACGAAGCAGGTCCTGCTAACATCTAAGCAAATTTCCATTACCACTTGCATTTGGCTGATGAAACTAGGAAATTTCCCAACACAAAACACGCACCTGAAGCAAACAAGCAAATACTGCAAGTGCTGCACTTGCATAAATTGTACATATAAAATTAATAATAATAATAATAAGGCTACCTCTACTCACGGTTGTCTCTGTTTCTAGAAACTGATTTATTAAGAGCTATGGAAGATTTATTAAATGAATTGCTATGTCATGGTTTGTTTCCCCATTTATCATATGGGCTTGAAAGCAAAGGCAAGACCATAAATGAGCAGGCGTTAAGAGCAATCATCCTTTTAGAAAACAGGACACCCAAGTATTACACTTCTAACAGTCAATATTAACTAAGAAGTCAATGTGAACTAAGAAACCTTATTAATCAAGTTCCTCTATCAGTAGAGCTATAAAATGTTTTCTACTGCATAGTGGAAGAGGGGTACACAGTTTTCTGAAAGTCCACATGATTCGCAGTGTAAGTTATAAAAGCCACTTAAATACTCAGGAATATTATAAATTAAAATTATGATAGTATGAGTTTATCTATACAGAATCTGTTTCAGAATAATTGATCAATTAATCTGAAAAATTAACTATTTGTAAATAAAGTTAACAAGTACTATTGCAACAGTTCTGTTAATTCTGCTCAGATTAGACACTGAACTTTTGAAGGAAACTCAAAGGCAGAAAAAACAAGAAAAAAGTTTTGGGTTTTTTTTGTAAGATACCATAGGACTGCTGCCACACAAAGGCCATAACAGACATAAATATTTAGATAATAGCTAAAATAGTTTTTGAATGCACCTTTAAAACAAAGAAAACATGCTTTTTTTACAGTAATTACGCTAGGCAGGCACAGATATTTTTATTATCAGAGTATAAGCATGCAAATCATGCTCATTGCACTAACATTGAATTTTGATCCTCAGTTTAAAGCAAATTATGTGCGATTTGTCTTTGCATAACACTTAGCTATTTCAAGAAGTAAACTTGGCCAAACTGAAACCTTGCTCATTCTTCTAAAGGGCATTCACATAGAAACTTATATGTAACATATTGCTCCTCTTGCTTTATTTAAATTATATCAATGCCCAAATTTCCTAAACTGGTTCATAATTACTTCTGTTGTAGTAATGATCTCATTTCTTGGAAACAAAATAGTCACTCTTCCCCTAATTTCTATAAAGGTATGTGAAAAGCAGGTAAAAATATATTGCTTTGGCATAACTATTGCTGAGAGAGACAAACATCTATCTTATCACATTTGTCAGAGCAAGCTATACCATTTATATTTCATTGTAAAACAAAGAACTATCACATGTTGCACAAATATGCTCGATATTTTGTTAATGCTTCACCTTTCCTACTATAATCCTGCTACTGCTATACCCATACTTACCTCCTTATCAGCAAAATGTGATTTTCAAGAGTAATGTTCATACCTGACTGACATATGATAGAAAGGCAATAAAGCCATAGCTAGGTTCAAGCTGAAGCTGAATTTATGACACCATTTTGGATCCATACACATCACCTCCTGTCAGTACCTGCATCTCTCATTTTCAACCACTAGATGGTGTGAAAAAATAAAAAAAAAAAATTGCTAAGGATTCCTGCCGACTGCCACAAAATTCAAGTATTAATGTAGTGGATTAGGAAATATTTTTTGAAGAGAAGTCTTGACCCACTTCAGGGCGGTTAGATTCACTTTTCCTTTAGTTATATTTTCACTTACCAGACAAACAGCTCATAAACGATCAGACCTTGAAACTGAATCAAGTGGAGGGTTAAGATGGATAACTCTCTGGCACTTTCCCCTACAAAGACCCTAAATTCAGAGCTGACACTACTGGCCAACACTCATTTTTTTCTGAAAAAGCTGTAACAATCTTTAAGTGAGCCAGGGCTGAATTTTCTGGGCTGTGTTTTGGAGGAGAAATCGTTTCCAAAGAGAGAGGCTTTATATATCTGGAGCAGCAGTGGGCCTGTTTCAAGGACTGATTACAGATTAATCACAGCATGACCACAAGACAGTTGATATACAGAGGACAGCTTAAGCTACTGTTTTTCTATCTGGCTCTTTTTTTAAAATTAGATTTCTCACTCTTCTGGGGAAGGAATAGCAAATTATTTTTTCACCGACAAACGGAAGATTAAGATTTTATTAGCCCCCGTACTGTACCAGAAGAGCACAACCCACACAGAGGCAAACTGCATACAGTGGAATCTGCTTGTTCATGGGCTTTTTTGGGAGCGGGGGAAGAGGTGGTTATTTTAAATTAGTACCATTAGTACCATGTATAACTGCTTGAAAGTCTGCCCAATCCAAGAGTGTTATCCTGCCTTTAGTAATGCAATTCAGTTATTAGTTTAAGTGACAATGAAATACCTCAAAAGACATACATGGTCACATTAACATTAGCAATATATCTTCTATATTTTTATATAGGACAATCTTTCTATCCATAAATCTTAAATTTATTTAAACAGAAGCTGGTGCATTTATTATCCGGAAACACTGAAGTTAAAGGTACCATGGAAGATTTAAAGTAACTGTGACAAAAGTGAAGAGTTTAAAACTAAGACAAACAGATGCCTTTAGTTTTCATGTACCTACTTGTATATTTCAATGACCTACAATATCTTTGGCGTTAATTATACTGAATAGCAACTATATCTGAGATATATATTCTATATATATATTTTAAAAGGTGTGTTTTTCAGTGAGAACTTGAAAAGCTCTACAGTTTTTGGAATATGTGGGGAAAAGAGAAATTTCCTTTGATGAATTGTGCAGAAGTAGACTTCAACGGACTATGAGATATAAATTTTAAGAGAGGTTTTGGGTCTGTGGCTTGGTTTGTTTTGTTTTTTTGGGGGGAGGGGGGGGATGGAGTGGTTGAAGACAAATAGGAAAAACTAACCAACATTAAAGTAAAATAAAATTCCATGCTTATACTGCTTATCATCACTTTAGATGAGAGGAACCATATTTCTCATTTGCTTTGCAAACAGGAAAGTAGTAAATTAAAAATTGTCCAAATCTGTTAGAGCAAACAAATTTGGAATCTGAACTACCAGAAGAATTACAATATACATACAAACATGAAAGCATTGTTCAAAAAAAAAAAACAAAAACCCTTCTGTAGCAAGATGCCCAAAAAGCCAAAACCAGCAGAGTCAGAAATATAAAACAGGAAACAAGAAAACATGACATACAAGATAATTTAAAATTCTACAAGGTTAACTTCTACAAGCAGAAAGCAGCACATTGTCTCCCTTTAAATCAGTTAACAAATGGTAGCCAAGATTTAACAAGTAAATAAACATGCTTTTAAGTTAATTCCTGTTATACAGCTATGTTTTAAATGTGATTATAGATCATTTGACAAAATAATTAATTGCAGTGAATATCTGATTGCAAACAAAGGATCTGAAAGGGAGTGCCAGTTTCCCCCTCAGAACTGTGGGAATGTGCCCTTCTGCCATGGCTCTTTTTTAGCCCCAGTAGCATGCCATACCTTGCTGAGAATGTAAATAACGTCACCACGTTTAAATGTCAGCTCATCAGGTTCATCTCCTGTGCAGTCCCACAATCCTTGATAGAAATTGGCATAATCGGTATTGTTGTCATCTGCAAATAAAATGGCATCTAATTACAAAATAATTAGTACATTACAAAATATTAGTACATATTTCTTATTCTGCTTTGTAGAAACAGCTCCTTCATACCACAAAAGTAAGTGGAAAACAAGTTTAATGTGCAAGCCCTTCACTCGCAAGTTGTATCAGTTAAAGACATGTAGCTACAGGTTTTCAAAGCATTTTCCAGCTGCAACTTAAAACAGCTAGTTTTCCTCTACTAATATATTTCCAGCAAGCCATATTTGTATCTCAACTTGAAACCGATAGAATTGCTAGAATATAATTAATAATAATCTCTGAAAGCAAGCCAAAGAAAGTATTTTGTGATATGCCCTCTGTCCCCCCCAATCCAATAAAATTTAATAACTTCTCTGAGAACCTTTGAGATAATCCTTGATTGTTCCTTCTGAAATATTGGAGAACTTGGAAACTGTTGCTGAAGCTGCATTTTAAAAATATTTGTGTCAGCTCCAGTTTAGGATATTAAGCTCTGGCTAAACATGCAACTACACTACAGTTATAAACTCATCCTTCTAACAGCATAAGCACAATGGATGTGCTGTGTTCAAGCTGCCATACAGACCATTAACTGATTGATTATTTAGCACTCTCTGCTCTGTAATATGGCAATAACACAGTAATAAATGCTTTGTCATACACTTACAATACAGAGTACATCTATTGAAACACAGCGCTTACACACGGTTAAATACACTGGGAGCTTCTGTTACACTGCAAACTATTTCCTGTTTTTAATTCCATGAGAATGGAGTGCGATGAGTTAATGCAAAAAGAATGTAAGCAATACCACTAAGATGACCAGTTACATTATGTATACACTAACCAGACAGAATGTATATGTACTAATAATTTACATCACTGGAAAGCTATCTTCTAATTCTGATAACATAAATATCACTGAACTAGCTGGATCAAGGCTGACATCTTAGTTTTGCTATATGATCCTTGAACAGCAGGCTTGCTGGTTATTCCAACATATACCAGTTACATTTGCATGTCGTTAGCATTCTACACCATTATTTATAGTTTACAATTTAATCATGATTGGTTCCCTTTATTACTGAAAAAAATCCTGCTAAAGTATCAAGTATCAAGTGAGAGAAAGTGTCATGCTATAAAGAAATATAGCACCATTCAATTTGCATTTTTCCCTGTTTTGATAAATACTTAGATTTTAATACTCTCTGTACGAGCAAGAGCTCGTTTTCTCTTTATCCATTTCAGTCTGTGTTCTGTCCTATCTTGTCTTGGTAGCAATACTGTCATAAGGCTAAATATTCACAACCTTGAATTTAGAGCTGCTGTGCAAGTTAGCCACCATTTAATTTTCCATGAACTGGTGATTAGTAGCTACCAGTTGCTCTATAGCACTAGGGGGCGTTCTGACTACCAGTGCACAAATTCTTCTGCCATCACACCAAAAGCAGCAATGTATGTATAAAAACTCCCAACTATTCAGAAACAAGAAATGTGGTTATTGTAAAATGCATAAACAGAATAATTTCAAGAGGAAAGCAGAATCAGTTTAAATGTTGCCCCTCCAAATTTTGGCCCTTTCCATTTGTCAGGTCGTTATTCACCAACTTAGCATTAGACAACTTTAAACAGTAACACAGGTTAGCACCAAATTAATTTGTGATAAATATTAAATCAGGATCTCTCCTCAGTCTTTTGATACAGAATGGGTCACAGTTCCCATCTCTATCTCATAAACAATAATGTAAGTCCATATAAGAAAAAAACAAGAGCTATTTCTGTATATCCCCCCCTTCAAATCTTTCAGCAGTTGTCTTACTGATTTGGTTTAAAAGACATTAATCAGGACTTTACTTCCTCAGAATTGCACTGAAGTGACTTTTCACCCTAATCTTTATCACTTTGAGGTCTGTTCTTACCTTTAAGTGCCTGAAATAACTCCTGTTAACACTAATGGGAGTTATACGGGGAACATCAGCAACAGAAGAGATCCTACAGCCTGTGAAACATCTCTCCCTAAATGTTCATCATGAGCATTTAATTAAGCCTTCAAGTGGGAAAGCAACTCAACTGATAACACAGCAACACTGGAAAAGATGCATTTTAAAATAAGCTTATTGCTACAGTGGAGGTGTTGCCCAAAAATTAACCATGGCTCTCTGCCCTTATATGTGAATTCAACATAACACGGAGTTGTTTAAATCAGAAAGCCATATTTCTCAGAAAGTCATTCCAGGAGCACAGAAATAAAAAACAGGGAGAGGAAATGCCAGTGTCAGTTTGTGAACAACTATGCTGGTCTTCCAACAAGTGTTAATTTCAAATTCTAAATCCCCTCTCATACCCACCAGCACAAGTTTCTCCAAATTCTGTAAGTGCAACTACACACGTGTAGAAGCCAACTGTAAATTTAACTTCAGAATCTATGCATCCAAAGGGCAAAATGCTTCACAAAATGATTCATAGTGCTTCACAGAGAGGTAGAACACAAAAAAGCTCCAAAAAACCTCTGTAAAACACAAACCCATTCATTCTTTCTTTCTTCAGTCCCTCTTTCAGTTAGAGAGGACACTGCCAAATTTCATTTGATTGCCTCTGAAGAACCAAACAAAACAAAACCAGGAGACCTGGGTAAAGGAATTTGGTATTTATACAGTAATGAAATCATGTGGAGCTTCTTAAACGTGTAATTCCTGAAAACAGCTGGTGGATTTAGCATCAAGAACTTACGTGCCCACTAGAGTTCAAATTCAAAAGGCACTGGTTTGCTGGCATTACTCTGTCACAATTACACTCTATTCTTAGACAACGTGAACTGTTTTGTGCCTTAAAAATACTATGACAACATAATTGCTAAACTAAAGTCTGCCATATTTGGTCACTTAGGCCACAAATATGAGTAAGACAAAAAAATTTAAAATGTGTAGCAGAGGGCAGAAAGCAGTTTGTTTTTACCTACCCACTGCTTTAATATTACCAATCACAAGAAGTGTCCGAGCAGGATTTTGGATAGGTTGTTTCTCAAGAAAATACTTCTTTCATTCTAGGACAGCTGTCTGGATGAAAAACTATCCAACAGTTCCCAAAACTCTTCCACAAAGAATTCCTCATGGTTTTCTTCTGCCATCTCTGTTTTTCCAGTAACAGTAATAGGAACAACAGATATTTTTGTCCAATATACTGATGAAAACACTTCAGAGTTTATTTGACAAATCAAACAATGGCTGCCAGCCTTCCTGAGGGTAGGTTCAGACTGCTTATTTCACTGAAAAATACTGGCACCTGACTATACATGCTTGAAGAAAGAAAGGCAAACAGTTCAGGTAAAAATCTGACAAGTATATCACTCAAGCATGCACTTCAAATATTGTAGACTGTTTAAAACTTAAGAATGCCCGTGAATTACTCAAGAGGAAAAAAAAAAATCATAAGAATATTTTAACAGCCTCAACAGACAGAAAAAACAAAACCTGGAAAAACAGATGAAGAGTACATATTTCAGAGGGATTTAAGTGTGCTGTCCCATTGCAGCCTAAGCTAACCTAACTGCAGGATGTTCCATTCCTGCCCCTTCATACCAATTTTGGCACTTGCCATTTCTGAGCAAAAACCTGTCGCGAACCTGGCAGAAAACTAAACTGACCAAAACAAAAACGGGAATCACAGCCCAAGTATGGAAATGCACTACTTAAAACATTAGAATAAATGTGACTGCCTCATTTCCACTGATCTTCCATTTTAACATTGATGGCATCGAACTTAGCAAACCCCACTATGGTAGTGACTTAAAGCTAGTAGTTGTATTATCTGCTTATGCATTGCTTGTGGAATGAAGGAATATGCGTGTATGTTTTCCTTTCACCAGTGTAGTCCACTGCCCAGTACACTATACAGCTTGCCATTCTGATTCATATTCCTTGACTCTTGATCAGATTCTTCAAAAGTTTATAGCATCAGGTTTGAAGATCACTAGTCTGGGCTACTTAACAATATTTGAAAGAGGTGAACTTCTGGAAAATTACTGTAACCCCTTTGGTAATGATGTGCTCAGTATCTACCACACTGAAGGCTTAAAGATAAGAGAGAGACAGGTGAAGTTCAAAATTAATACAACCAGAATGACTCTGTCTCACACAAGTGATCTAGACTTTCAGTGTTGAGTCTCAATGCCCAGATGAGACATACCCTGTTAAAGAACACAGTTATTTGGGTTTTTTTTAAATTAAGTCCTAACTGCGAAGAATGCCTGTTACTTACTTGCCCTTTTTTGCATATGCTAGAAAATTTATGAAATAATCTAACCCAATCTGTTCAGTATAATCTTTCTCACTTCTCCTATTGTTCCTTAATCTAAAATCAAGGTATTTACACTGAAACAGCACAGACATAACATTTACTGAAACAGTGATTGTGGAAATGATAATGGGTAGATAGTGGTAGCAAAAAAGACCCAGCAAGCCATATTATATAACTGAAATTGTTCAATGCTTTGGTATTTTTAAATAATTAGGTCACCAGCAATTAATACAAAGCTATCCAGCAGCAACAGGCAGCATCAAGACTGTAGGAGTAATAACAACTCAAGTCATCAAATTAGTTGAAGTAGAGAAAAGTTAAGAAAAGAGCAGGAAAAAAGAAGGTTTTTTTCACTTATCAGGTTGAGCTCCCAGACAATTTGCAGAATATTTTCTTTGAAACTCAGGTTTAGTAAAGCTAGGCAATAAATTAAATTTAAGAATGTATGTGCTGTCTGTGTGGAAAATCATGAAGTATTCTGGAGACAGGTTAGATATTTATGACATGATGCCTATCAGAAATACTCATGTCAACTCAGCCCTAAGAAGTCAAACAAATTTCCATTGTTAAATAGTTAACTAAAATCAGATCAGAAGATTATTGCTTTAAATGAATCTGATATCTGGGGAGAACTGTTATGGTATTTTCAAGGACATTACACAAACACTAGTAAGACTGATAAGGCTGCTCTCACAGCAGTTGAAACTTTTCAGACATGGAAGTACTAAGGTTTTGATTTCTTAAACTAAGACCATTTAGAACTTCAAGAAGATACATTAGTGAAAAAAAAAATGCTGTTGGCAACTTTATAATTGGATTGACCTCATGCTCCATTATGACAACACACTTATAATTACAGTAATGTCTAAATGAGTACTAAATATTAAGGCTGTAACGAGTCATGTTGTTTTACACATGTTTTTAGCAGAGCACAATGCTAACAGCATTTGATGACTTGGCTCTTGCTTCCTTTCCAAGAAAAGCAACCCAAAACTCCTCACAGCAACCTGTTCCTGCTTTCCTGTATGGGTCAGGAAATCAGGCCTCTGTTTCCTCTCCACATGTTGCAACAGGAAAAGCACTACAGAGCTAGTTCCTAAAGGAACTCTTCTTGCCCACCCTTTCCTTGACAGCCCTGAAAGAATTATGTGTATTATATACGATAGGGGAAGGAGAACCAGATTGCGTGTCAGTGCAGGTCACAGTTACAATGCAGCAGATCTCAAAAAGGTGTAAGGTCTGATAAGAAGCAAGTCTTCTCTACTTGCTATGTCAAATCACCAAAAGTTTATCTAAGGGTCTGTGCCCTTGAAGCACATATATATCTTGTTTTTAAGCATAACTGGAAATACCTTTCTGTCAAGAAAAGTTGTCTGGCCATATGACTTTACATGGTGTTTACAGTTATTTTTCCAGTCCCAGAGATAATTAGCCCAAGGGCAGTCTGCCAAGCTAAAGCTGAGAGAATATCCTTCACAGCCTTTCTGGGCATTTGTGTCCTTTTCCAATTTTTATGCTGCTGTCACTGGACTCTGGCATTTCTTACCCAATCCATTTGCTTTCTGTGGTAATCATATGCAATGAAGATATGCATGGCCAACATTTAAACAGGCTGCAGATCAATTAGTGGTCTTAAGTTTATCTGATTTTTATCAAAGAAGACAGAGCTTTAGGTCGATTGTCAGAGCCTGTGTCAAGTTGACCTTTTCAGAGACGTCTACATTGCCAGTCCCTTGGGCAACTTGTTGTCCCCTGTTAGTCTCTGAATGGCAGAAGTCTGTTCTGCTCAAGCACAAAGTATACACAGATGTCTATATTACATTCTTATAGGTTTGACAGCAACTGCATGTTGTATCTATAAACTGTCCTTTAGCAGTGACACTTCCTCAATGATGATAAGCTAATTTATGCAACTAAATCTCCTTTGTGCAGAAATGAAAGCTAATTGAGTCATTACAAAGTAATTCAGGAAGGAATACCTTGTATAAATTGGCTTACTTTATAAATCCTTCTCAAGTGGTTTTCATGCATCCTAAGTGGTGCTAAGCAGTTTTGCTGCCATCAAATACCCAGGTGAAAAAGACAGCTTTACAGAGCTATAAAAACATTATTTTAAAACTGCAAGGGGAACAGACAAGAAAAAAAAAAAGGTAAAAAGAAAGTGCACACAAAATAAAGAGGAAAGATTTTAATTACCTGAAACAGTGGTAACTTCCTCCTGGCTCAGTTTTCTTGGCACTTCAGCCTTTGAAGAAACACGTTCTTCTGCAAAACACAAAATTGCAAATAAAACTCTTAAGGGACACCTCAGCTGACAGGAATTACAGCCCACATCAGTCTGAAAGCCACATTCTACATTTCCAGATCATAAGCCCTGTTTACTATTTTGCATTTGTACAGAAGTTGGAACATTGTTATTTCTGTGGTTTCCCCCACCCATCCAAACACTCCAAGAGTTTTCTTTCAGAATCTCAGTCGTGAACATCTGTTTCCCTTTTCACTCTGCTCTCAATGTGGTAATATAGAGCTGCAGTTCTGTTGTTTTTCAGTCATTCCAAAACCATTAGAATGTGGGTCCTATTCTGCTATGTACATGTCTTGCCAGGATAAAGAAAAGGAAACCAAGGATTGAAAAATTATCCCCAGCCCACACAAGAATTCAGAAGTTCTTAGGAGAAGGGAAGGCAGAGGACACTTTACCTTCAGCATGGTCATACAGACACACTAGCTGGACACCCGCATGACGGGAACACAGCCACCACAGCTGCCATGCTTTCAGTGCTCCTGCCTACTGCGCCCGACCATGGTTTTAAGCAAGCCAGACTGTATCAAGTAACTTAGTGCAAGTTTAGGAGACAAGAGAAGAGAAAGCCTGGCAGTGATCAGCCCTGAAGCATGTTTTCTGGCTAGCAGGCTTGGAACGCTCTGAAATTCCCACAGGCAATTTCAAAACATGTGCTCCATACTCCTTGTCTGACACAGACAGGGAACTCTCCCATGCCCGCATCCTCACATAAGTAAATCCACACTCACTCAATGCAGGGATGTTAAGATCTGCTCCTCACATTTCACAGTCAACAATTCTGTTGATGAGGCAAAAAAGGGAACAAACTATGAGGTTGTTTCCTGTATTCTTTCTTTAGGTTCATAAGGAAGTAGAAACAGATTTATCTTGGCCTTTACAGTATATCAAAACTGACAAACCACCGTACTGAATGAGGAAATAGTAAATTGATAAACCCACTTCTCAAACAAGAACTGGACTTTTAATACATTTAAACTATTTGGCTTTGCTACTCATCATATCTTATACATATATTCATGCTCCTTTAAGGTACACATTTCAGTAATTAATTTTGATATTTTATTAGTGATAACAGATACAGAACTCACAGCTTTTAAAATGTTCTTTATTGTGCAGCTTTTATGTAATTGCCTATCTACTTTGACAGAGTGAATTTTATATCAACAGTTCAAAGAATTTTTAGCCTTGTAAAAATTTAATCTATCCACAAGACTGTTCCTGCAAACATTAAAGCAGATGTTCAAAGCACAAGAGTAGACCTGTTGAAATGAGTATGCATAATTGCTGCTAACCTATATACACAGTCCTGCAAATATTACAATTACATCATGAGATTCACTCTACAAAGAGCTTTGAACTTCTGCCCTACTAAGCCAGCAAGAGTTTTTTTACTGCCTCACTCTTGACTAGCTTAAAATCTGGTTGAGATGAATATAAACTATTATCTGAGCCAAAGAAAAAAACAATAGAATGGGGAAAATCTGAAGCTGCAGTACAACACAAAACACTCCAAACTGTTCACTGCGTTCAAATGTATTCCCCCGCTTGGCATAACACTTGTTGCACATTTCCAAGTACACTCATTTATTTTAAGCACTCACAATTGGAGCATAAATGGCAAATATACATCCCTATGTGCTGTCCAGAGCACTAGGAGGCACTGTCATTCTGTGGCTTCCCTACCACTATTACACCACTCACAGGGGTACTATCCCATTATCAGTCACATTTTCTAGAATTACTCCCTCTTCCCAGAACAACACAGTTTCATCCAACACAGAGTAGTACACATTGAATAAATAAATGTTGATATGACATGTTACTGAATGCTTGGACCTACATCAATTGATGTGTTGAATGTACTGTGGATTTTAACTCTATCACTGCCATAGTCATCAGACTAGTTTAAACAGAGGACCCACTTTAATAGAGGGTATTTAACTGAAGTAAAACAGCAGAGGAGGTTTGAAGATTTTTTTCATAAGGTACAGTTGAATACATGTAGAATGCATTGTGGTTTCACATAAAAATTTAGCATATAGGCATTCCCCATTCTGAAACACATATTACCTAGAAACAAGAGTTCACCAGATCCATGTCTGAAGATGAGAAAATGTCTGAACCAAGGCTCTTTGAATACAGATGTGACATACTGAAGTTTGTGTTGCAACATGGAATAGAGTCAAAAGACAAAAAATTAAAATAAAAAACACAGTAGAAGTCGTAGAAGTCCTTTTGTATAATTAAGATACCATGGAGTCATTCAGGCCTTTAAAATAATCTGGTACAATGTTTCCTCTGTATTTCTTCTTCACACCATCACGACCACTGTGGTGACAAAATATTCTTCTAAACCTTCTCACTATGTCAAAATAAGACTAATCAACACTAATCAAACCAGTGAACTCTTCCAGAGCTGTAGATCCAAAGAACCCTTGAGATACAGGTTATGCTCCATACTCATCTGGTACTCAGAGACTCTAATGGCAAACAATCTGCAAAATTCTTGTGGTGACAATGCAACAAGGAATTAACTATATTTGTTAAGGTTTTCTTCAGTTAGTCCATGAAAGCTGTTGAAAATAATTTACTTATTTAATTTGCAGTCTGAAGAAAAAACAGAAAAATAATCAGCCAATCATAGATTATTCTACCATCCACACATTTTAAAAACTGAACAATGAATTCTACACTAGCCGAGTTTTTCACATTAATTATCAATTTTTTCTTCCTTTTTTTTATTAAAGGAGAAGGGGAAAAAAAATTAGACTACTTGAGTATAAAATGGATAAGAGTTTGGCTTGAACAGTGCATTCCTTCAATGGAATGTGGTCTCTCCATGATAAATACACATAAACTTAGTAGTTTAGCAGTTTCCTCTACTAACATATTACTTAACCACCTTTTTATATTAGATTCTAATTTAATAATGCTATTAATTGGTATTCTACTGTCTTCTGGTCTGCGGCACAGACATTATTGCACTATACTAGTTCATAGTTTGGATAATCCCAGTTTGTGGGTTAATATATTCTATTCAACACTTTAATAACAGTAAACAAAAACAGCTCAGCTACGCAGCAAAATCTACCAAACCACACAGACGGTTATAAGGTTTTCATTGTGTGGTTTCCATAGCAATCTTATTGCAAATCTGGAAGCTTCTTGCAAATAAGCATCTTGCATTTACATGCCTCTCGGCTCCAGCATGGAACTCTACAACACGTGAAGTTGTTATTCCAATCACATATTGTCAGAAAAATCATTGGAAGATGTTTTGATCAGTTAAGATAAAAACTACTGCAGTGAACTCATTTTTCATCTGTTTCATAATGATACAAACAATCACAAGCTCCTAATGCACATTAATGTATCTTCATTTGAAATCTCACTGTGGTGTCAGAGGGTTATAAACATATGAACAGGTCTTGTAAGACAGACCCTTGCAAAAATACTTGTATTATTTAATAATCAATTGAAAAAAAAAAACCCTACAGTGTCTTTACTATTGTTCTCAGCAGGGATGACAGACATACAAACAAAAAGGTGCGTACATGAGGAACTCTGCTAACACTGAATGTCATGGGTCTATAACTGCTTTGCACAAAAAAAAAAAAAACCATACAATGCCATGGTAACACCAAGAGTATTACTCCTCCAAAATGCTTTTTCTGCTACCAAATTATGACTCTGAAAAAATGTAAACAAGAACTTTCAAACATGAATACATGCTTACTGTGGGGAAGAGTCCAAACCTTTTCTCTCCCAGATTCATAATTTTATTAATTGACCTGACCCCATAACAGATTGTGTTATTACTTTAGTAAGGAATACATATCAACCCAGCTATGTAATTTAAAAAAAAAAAAAAAAAAAAAAAAAAGAACTGGCTTTTTTACAAATAATCTTATTTGTTTAGAGAAACATCTAAGCAATTCCAAAAAAGTAACAATAAACATGTAAAATTTAAATACATAAAATGTTTTTATAATTTGCCCAAACTGACACCTTCTGCTAACATTAGCACTGAGGGCTAGAAATCATTTGGGGTCCAAGGAATAAGAATTAATACCCCATACTTGAAGACTGCTCCCCAGCCTAGGGAAGGGGACCCTCTGCAGTATTCTCACTAAATACACACTTGTTACTTGATCCTAGGCTTATTTATCTTGGTGTATTCATAATGGCAGGGATTTTCCTTTCCGGTGTCTTCTTTTAGACTCCAGATCCACTTATTCTGTAGGGAGAGACTGTCAAATCCAAGTAGCAAGACTCTAGCTTTAATAATCCTCCAGTATTCCTACAGATCTGCCCCTTTCCCCCAGTTCCTCCTGGACATGAGATTTACACACAATTTTTTGACATTTCACTCAGCATTCCCAGTAGCACTCTGATGTACCCTGTAAATAAATGAAACAGCTTGGAAAAGGCTGCTGCAGATGCTACTATCTAGCCATGGTGTGAGAGCTGGGGGGCGGCAGAGATGGGGAGACAGACTATCATTTTATTAAAGCTCCATCTGACTGTATCAGGGTGCATGGCCTGGGAACAAAAATACCTCCAGGTACCTGACAGAAGTAGGAAAAAAGCTGATTGCTATTTAGAGCAGAGATTATAAACCAGAAAATTTCTTACCATGACAGAAGAGAGGAATATTTTATTCCTACTTCCATGGGTTAGCAAGTCACCACCCAACAGCTCAAACAGAGAAGTCATATTCCTGAATGATACGCATGAGTGAAAAAAAATATTTCCAGAACATAGACAGAAGAGGTGGAGACAGAAACAGGTCACCCAGACACAGGCTAAACACTGGGATTGCAGATGAAGTGACATGAAAATATGAGCAGAAACAAAAGTTGCACCTGAATAAATGATCACCACTGTGCTCAGAAATGTGATGGGAAACAGACAATACAGAATTGTATTCTAATCAAATACAGAAAGAGATCTACAGGTT